CAGCATCCTAAGGCTGCAGGAGGAAGCCTCTTAGACCCTGGGCCTTTGGAGCTGTGGGTACCATCGGTGCTAGCTGGAGAATACCTGAGGGCAGTAGTCCGGCAGGGAGAGCGTTTGCTTTGCACGCGGCCGACCCGGGTTCAATCCCCAGCATCCCATAGGGTCCCCCGAAAACCTCCAGGGGTAATTCCTGAGTAGGAGAACCAGGAGCCCAGGGAGTTTACTCTCAGCCGACTGGCTAGGCTGCTCAGAGGATGCAACTGGAGGCTTTTATTTTTTTTTTGGTGGGGCTGCACCCATGGGCGCTAGGGGGGTGATCAGCACTGGGAATCAAACCCAGGGGCCTGGTAAAGCCTGTACTCTCTCCAGCCCTCGGGTGGGACTGCTGCTGTTTAAAGTAGTTTTGAGGAGGAATCAGGTGGTTGGCGTTATGATAATGGCCAGGTGGGGGGGGGGGGCGGGGAAACAGGAAAGGGGAGTCCCAGGGAAGCTGGGCTGTGGGTCTCGGTAAGTCTCTTGCTGGCGGGCTGTCCGGAGGCCTCCCCTCCTCTGCCTGCCCTGCTGGGTTCTGCATCTCCTGTGGCTCTTCCCTGTGGCGTCAGCTGCTTTCTTGGCATCGTTCAGCCTAGTTGCTAGGAAGCTGATCAAGGCGAATGCAACTTCCTTTTGACTTGCTCGCGTTGAACCATCTGCTGATGCCTCCTCGTGGCCTTCAGACTTGGCCAGAATCCTTGAGAAGAGGGCTCAGTGGGGCACCTGTGCCCCTGATTGTGTTTGGGAAGACAACACTTTTTTAAAAAAATTTTATTATTGATTGATTGATTTTTAATTTTTATTAGTGAAACACCATGAGGTACAGTTGTAGATTTACAGATTTTTGTGCTTGGGTCTCAGTTATACAATGATCAAGTACCCATCGCTCCACCAGTGCCCATTCTCCACCACCAATGATCCCAGTAATCCTCCCCCCCACCCCATCCCCCACCCTCCCATCCCACCCTACCTCTGTGGCAGGGCATTCCCTTTTGTTCTCTCCTTTTGGGTGCTGTGGTTTTCAGTAGTGGTATTGAGTGGCAATCATGTTCGGTCTATAGTCTACTTTCAGCATGCATCTCCCATCCTGGGTGGATTCCTTCAACACCCTTTACTTGGTGGTCCCTTCTCTATCTGAGCTGCCTTTTCCCCCAGCATGTGTGGCTGGCCTCCAAGCCATGGGGCAAACCCCCTGGTACTTACTTTGACTATTCTTGGGTGTTAGTCACCTGTTTTGTTACTTTATATTCCACAGATGAATGCAATCTTTCTATGTCTGTCCCTCTCTTTCTGACTCATTTCACTTAGCATGATACTTTCCATGTAGTACCACTTGTATATAAATTTCATGACTTCATCTTTTCTAATAGCTGCATAGTATTCCATTGTGTAGATGTACCAATGTTTCTTTAACCAGTCTCTGTTCTTGGGCACTTGGGTTTTTTCCAGTTTCTGGCTATTGTAAACCGTGCTGCAATGAATAAACAAGTGCAGATGTCACGTCAGCTATACTTTTTTTCATCTCTGGGACATATTCCCAGGAGTAGTATTGCTGGGTCAAATGGGAGCTCAATTTCTAATTTTTGGAGAATCGTCTGTACTGTTTTCCAGAAGGGCTGAACCAGTCGGCATTCCCACCAGCAGTGAAGGAGGGTCTCTTTCTCGCCACATCCGCGCCAGCACCGGTTGCTTTTGTTCTTGTGGATGTGGGCCAGTCTCTGTGGTGTGAGGTGGTATCTCATAGTTGTTTTGATCTGCATCTCCCTGATGATTAGTGATGAAGAGCATTTTTTCATGTGTCTTTTTGCCATTCGTATTTCTTCCTTGAGAAAGATTCTGTTCATTTCATCACCCCATTTTCTGATGGGGTTAGATGTTTTCTTCTTGCAGAGTTCAACCAGTGAAGCAACACTTTCTGTTAATTCTTCTAACCCCCTCTATCCGCGGTCCTCGTAGCTGAATTCGTTTTACCCCTTGTTCCTTTCCGCTCACCATTTGGAGCCAGAGTTTGTTTTCTTCTTACAACCCGAGCCTTTATTTTCGTTTGTTTTCATCTTTGATTTAGATCTGCGTTCTCCGTTAATCACAGCTCTGGAAAATCATTTCCTGGCTGCAGCCGCAGAACAGCAGGTAGAAAAGAAAAAAATAAAAATGAAAAAGGAAGGGGGAAATGATTGTTTCGGTTTTTTTGTCTTTGGGCCACACCCGGCAGTGCTCAGGGCTTACTCCTGGCTCCTATACTCAGGAATCACTCCTGCCAGTGGTCGGGGAACCGTATGGGATGCTGGGGATCAAACCGGGTCGGCCAAGCACAAGGCAAGCGCCCTTCCCGCTGTGGTGTCGCTTTGCACCCCTGCCCCCAGCCCCTTTTCCTTTGCTGTGGTGTCGTGATGATTAGGGACCTCGCACACTTTGGTTGTAGTATCGAGACCCCTGGTTGTGGGCTTGTGCATGCTGGGGATTACTGTGGTGATCACACATATGTTCTTGGGGGTCCCATTCACGGGCCCAGTGCTCCACCGTTTTTAGTTCTGGTGTTCACATACACCTGCGCGTATACTGGGTGCAGCCTCTGTGACCGCTGGGTGGGATTCCAGAGCACAGAGCTGCTGAGCCCGTTCTTTGTGCCCACCAGCAACTCTTTTTATTTTTTTAGTTTTTTTATAATTTTATTTCTTGAATCACCCTGATAGCAGTTACAAAGCTTTCGGGTCTAAGTCTCGGTCATACAATGAAACACCTGTACCTTCACCAGTGCCCATTCTCCACCCCCAACAACCCCAGTATACCCCCATCCCACACCCTCCCTCTACCTGTGGGGCAGATGATTTCCACATTACTCTCTCTCTACTTTGATCACATTCAATATTTTGACACCAGACCCACCGTTATTATTTGAGATTTTACTCCAACACTCAGATCTGCTGAAAAGGCAACAGTAGACAAGTTGTTTTCTATTGCTGGTTATGAATAACATATGATGTCGCATGGCTGCAGTAGTGGCTGCGCGATTTTGAAATTCCAAAATTTTAACACTTAAATCTGGAGGGATTTCTGCCAAAACCTGCTGGGTTCCAAGGTTTGCTCCTGAGTCTCAGGGATCTTGGCCGTTAAGCAGCTTGATCAGGAGCCAGAAAGGCCGTTCATGAGCGAAGACTTGGGGTCTCGTTGGGGTGGGGAGGACAGGACTGGTTCCATCCCCATCCCGTGAGGCCCAAAATGTCTCGTCTCTGTGGGCCCAAACCTGACTGTCCAATGGCCTCTGAAGGATGACGGCCACCGAGCTGCCAGGGGGAAGCAGGCGGAGGGACAACACCCTTTCCCCCCTGAGGTAGCCCGGTGACAGTAACCTGCTGTGGGGTTCGACACATTTCTGCCAAAAGCCGCTGGGTTTCGAGATTTGTTTCTGAGTCTCTGGGATCATGGTTGTTAAGCAGCTTGATCAGGAGTCAGAGAGGCTGTTCGTGGACGGTGACTTGGGGTCTCGTTGGGACGGGGAGGACAGAACCGGCTCCACACCCATCCACCAGCAACTCTTGAGGCTTGAACAGAGTACAGCCCCACTTTAATCATGGAGCCTGCCCCCACCCTGCAGCTCTGAAATGAGTTGCTGGGGACTGGAGTGATAGCACAGTGGGCAGGGCGTTTGCCTTGCACGCAGCCTACCCAGGTTCGATTCCCAGCATCCGATATGGTCCCCTGAACACCTCCAGGAGTAATTCCTGATTGCATGAGACAGGAGTAACCCCTGAGCATCACCGGGTGTGACCCAAAAAGCAAAAAAAAAAAAAAAGAGAGAAAATGAAATGAGTTCCCAGGTCTGAATGTGCCAGGCATGTAAATAATGGTACTCTTAGTTCTGGGACATGATGTACACAAATGATTTATTAGTTTTGTGGGTTTTTTTTTTTCCTCATAAGCCCCATCGTGGAATTTAGCCTATAGTATGTTAAAAACGGCTGATAAGCCATGAAAAATGGCGGTGATGTTGGTGGAGCATCTTGCAAAGAGGCTTTGAAAAACAAACCAGAGGTCAACAAGGGAAGGACAGAGACTCCGTGGATGATCTCATCCATATCTGGAGTAAAAACAAGCGGGAAGTGTCTGATTTGGAAAACAACCTTCCCGTCTGGTACCAGAACTGGGACAACCAAGTGGGGAGCAGGAGAGGGAAGGTTGTGGATGGTGGTGGAGGGAAGATTGGCAGTTTGGTGTGGAGGGTGTGGGAAGTGTACCCCTAAGTCACCTAAACATTGCACTCTTGTAAACCCATGTATCTGTAAATGGGAAGTACGAAAAAGAAAAATACGGACAACCTAAGAGATAGAGCAGTGAGTAGGGTGCTGACCTTGCACACAGCTGAATGGGTTCTATCTATGGTAACTCTCTTTTGTGTGTGGGGAGGCTTTTCGAGTCACACCTGATGAGGCTCAGGGGTAACTCCCGGTTCTGCGCTCAGAAATTACTTCTCGTAGTGCCCAGGGGACGAATGGGACTCAGGGATTTTGAACCCGGGTTAGCTGTGGGCAAAGCAAACACCTTACCAACTGTACTATCACTCTGGCCCCCCACGGCACCTGTTATGGTGCCCCGAGCTTCGAAAACCAAAAAGAAAATAAGGAAAAGAAAAAAAAGAAGATTCTCACTCTCGCCGTCAGGGCGGTGAGGTTGGAGAGATCATAACGGTCTTGTCTCGTGGCAGATATTTCTCCAGTTGTCAACTCGGCAAAAGCATTTGAGCAGGCAAACAAGACCCGAAAATTTTCTGGCGTAGCATAAGCAAAAATAGAGGCGCTGAAAAAAATACCAGGTCTTGAGAAGAGCTGTTGTTAAAAAGAGTTTTGGAAATGGCGTTAACGGGGGGAGTTAATCGCCTCGGAGTGAGCCAGAGCCGCGGAGACTAATGCGTGGACTCGGGGAAAGAATTTCTTCTAAAGAGTCATTTTTGTCTTTGTTGGTTTTTTTAGCAGTAAGCCATATAAACCCATTCTGCCGACTGCTTATTCTCCCCAAGAGAGCTACTTAAAGGAGGGTGAAGACATGCTAAGGTAAAATTTTATTGTTGTGGCTCAATTTGCTAAAAGCTTTCGTGTAATTCAGATGTGTTCTTACTGTGCAGACGTGTGTGTTTGTTAAAGTGGATGTTATTAATACTCACTTTTGGGGAAGTCCCCCAGGTCGCCTGCATCATCTCGAGCCCATCAGTGCTGGCGTTTACCTTCCCTCCATCGCTGTCGCCCGGATGCGGGCGGGGAGAGCGGCCCTGCGGGCTGTCGGGACGTGGCTGCTTTGGCATTTCCTCTGCAGCATTTCGGGCAGCTTCCGAGGGCTCCCCGCTGGGGGGCCCTAGCAGATCTAGGTGCCCTTCTTCCATACCTTTCACCCCTTTATTGCACTACCGTTGTTCTGTTGAAGAAATCCAAAGTAATTTTATTACTAGGTGAACCAGTACTCCAGATCCAAGTGTATATGCATCAGTCTCTTTTTTTTTTTTTTTTTTGCTTTTTTGGGTCACACCCAGTGGTGCTCAGGGGATACTCCTGGCGATGCTTGGGGGACTATAGGGGATGCTGGGGATGGAACCCGGGTTGACCGCATGCAAAGCAAAAATCATTTTCTTTTTGTATTATCACTGTACTCTCACTCTGACTCCTATATGCATAAGCCTCTTAAGTGAGCACAAAGCCAGAAGCTTTGAGCACTGCTGGGTATGGCCACCAAACAGCCCCAAAACATATATATATATTTTTTCTTTTTTTTTCTACTCAAAGAATGAACAAATATATGTTAAAATGTTGGAGAAGGGCTGGAGCGATAGTACAGTGGGTAGGGTATTTGCCTGGCAGATGGCTGACCAGGGTTTGATCCCTGGCACCCGTATGACCCCCAGAGCATGGCCAGGCGTAATTTCTGAGTGCAGAGCCAGTAGAAAGCCCTGAGCATCCCCTGGTGGGACCCCCCCATCCCCAAGAAGCAAAAGTCTGATGATTGGGGCCCAGGGACATAGTGCAGAGGTTAAGGCGTCTTACTTGGTCGGATCCCTGGCACCACGTGGTCCTTGAGCATTTTGCTGAGTGCAGCCCTGGAGTTCCTCGAGCACTGCTGAGGTGGCCCATGTAACCCTTTTGTACGCCCTTGGGCCCTGGCATTGAGCACTGGCCATTGACCCACTGTTCCCCAGTCACCAGAAGGGGCCTCAGGCCTCCTGAACGCCATGTCAGAGCCCCAAGGAAACTATGTCTAATAATAAAACATTGTAGAATTCTCCCGGTTCTTTCCCTGCCTTTATTTCCTTCACTGTGCCAGGGCTGGAAGCCAGGCTCTGAACACGCACATGCGTGCACACACGCGCGCACACACGGCAGGCCTGCCATCCCCCCTGCCCCATCCCTGGCCAGGCTGCAGAGAGAGAGAGAGAGAGAGACACACACACACAGAGGCTGCACACACACACAGCAAGCTGCTGCCCTCCTGCCCCATCCCTGGCCTTTGCATGTTTTTTTTTTCCTTTTTGGGTCACACCCGGCAATGCACAGGGGTTATTCCTGGCTCTGGCTCTGCACTCAGGAATTACCCCTGGCGGTGCTCAGGGGACTATATGGGATGCTGGGAATCGAACCCGGGTTGTCCGCGTGCAAGGCAAACGCCCTACCCGCTGTGCTATTGCTCCAGCCCCTCCCTGGCCTTTGCAAACCTTTGAATTTGGTTTTTATTAGGTTGGGGCCCACACTTATGATCTGTATTTTTTTTTCTTTTTGGGTCACACCCGGCAATGCTCAGGGGTTACTCCTGACTCATGCACTCAGGAAGTGCTCCTGGCGGTGCTCAGGGGACCATGTGGGATGCTGGGAATCAAACTCGGGTCGGCCATGTTGGCTGCGTACAGGCAAACGTCCTACCCGCTGTGCTATCGCTCCAGCCGCTGATCTGTATTTAGGGGTCATTCCCAGAGGACTTTGAAGAGCCATGTGGTACCCCAGATCAAACCCAGGCCTCCCACATGCAAAGCATCTACTCAGCCAGCTGGACTCTCTTCTTCTTAAGTTGTTCTTGCATCTGGTAGATAATTCCATGACTGAATTCTTTTATCAATTGAGTGTAGAGGAGTGTTCATTCTTCTTGTTCTGGAATTGTTGTTGTTGTTGTTGTAATGTTGTTTGGTGTGTTTCATTTTGTTTTCATTTGGGGAGCACACTGGGCCTCCTGCATGCGAAGCCTGTACCCTCTGAGCTGTCTGCCCACCTCCATCTCATTGATTTTTTGCCACTGTCGTGCCCGCCGCTTCTGGAGTTACTGTGTCTGATTTACTTTGTTCTTTGCATGCGGCAGTCGAGGCCTTCTGAGTAACTAAATAGGTAAATCAACATGGCAGTTCAAGATTCCTGCCTTGGGTCTCCCTCTGTCATTTTGGTAAACGCAGTTTTCCTTGAACTGTGTTTGAATTGATTTTTATATGTATGAGCCTTGACAGGGCCTCTCTCTAGCTTGCATTAAATATGAGATTTGTGTCAGATTGGATTAATAATTCAGAATTGAAAAACGCTTTCCTCAGCTACAGAAGCACTTGGCAGTGGAGAATCAGGAGTGACTATTAATGGAGGTTAGTTCCTCCCAGGTAAACTTTTCCTGGAAAACGACACTGAGAACTCTTGAGCCAGATGCAGAGATTTTCTTGGCCCCGGTCTCCAAGAGCCAGAGGGCTGAGATGGGCAATACAGGCCTCATCTGCGGAGGGCCTGGCCTGCACCGCCCCTCATCTACTCTTTCTCGTAACCACCGTCAGAGGCAGGTTCTCCATAAAGCCCAATTTGACATGGTGATGTAACTCATCCCGGCTTCCCTGGCCAGCGACAGCTGAGGTTCCAATCTGGGCGGGGGCCATCCTTAACATTTATCACACTACTTTTTGAAATGGGGGCGGGGGGGGGGTTCAGGTACTGGTGTTCCAGTCCTTCTCAACCCCCTCTTCTCCTGTAAGGTTGTGGTGCATCTGAGGACCCCTTGCATTTACAGGAAGTTCTAAGGTCTGAGTTCTTAAGTTCTAATGCAAGAAGAACTGCAAGGGGGGTGTGAGAACAGGTGACTTAAAGGTGGCTTCCGGGGGCCCGAGCGATAGCACAGTGGAGAGGGCATTTGCCTTGCATGCAGCCAACCTGGGTTTGATCCTCGGCATCCCATATGGTTCCCTGAGCACCACCAGGAGTCATTCCTGAGTACAGAACCAGGAGTAAGCCTTCAGCATCGCAGGGTGTGACCCAAAAAGCCTCCCCCCACCCCCCCCCCCAAAAAAAGGTGACCTCCAGTGCCTATGGGCAGGCAACAATGGAAAGCCAGCCCCTGTGAAAGACCATTGTGTTGCTGTGTGCAAGCTGGGGGTTCTCAGAGCAGCAGGGAGCAGAGACCAGGGGAAGGACTCGCAGCTCTGCCCCGTCAGGATGGCTCGAGGATGCAGCATGCGACAGAGGGGCAGAAGCACCACACTGCCTGGCAGCGTTTGGGCAGACAGGATGCCGCCTCTGGGGGCAAGGAGTGATCGCTGCCTTCGGTGGCTCTCCCCTGACCGGGACACCTGAAAATGCCCGATTTGGGGGTACAGGATCCATCCTGTCCATCCTTGGTTCTGTTTGATCACGCAAAGGGGACTTGAGATTGCTAATCAGCTGCCCAGCATCTGACTCTCGTTTTCACACATTGTTGTAGCAAGACTGACTTGTTCACTGGTGCTGTATTTAGGATGAAAACTTACTGGGGCCGGACAGAGAGAGAGGGAACAGTGGGGAGGGCATTTGCCTTGAACACAGCCGACCAGGGTTCGATCCCCAGCATCCCACATGACCTCCCTGAGCACTGCCAGGAGTAATTCCTGACTGCAGAGCCAAGGGTAACCTCTGACCATTGTCAGGAGTGCCCTCCCCCCAAATTAAAAGTAGAATAAAACATATTGTCGATTTCTTTTTAAAATAGGGGTCATGCCCAGGGAATAGCAGGGCACCACTTGGCAGTGCTCAGAGGGTTCTGTGGTTGCCAAGGCTCACACTCAGGCTGAGCAAGGCTGGGCACATCCTCTGTCGATGGTGCCACACCTCCGCCTCCCCCCCCCACCTCCCCTGCAAACTGGGATTTATTTTCATTCATCTCCTATGCAACCTCAGCGCTATGCACCCCTCTTTAAACTGATAGCATGAGGTGAGTAGATGGCTTGCCTGGTGCATGGCTTGCCTGGGTTTGATCCCCAGGACTGCAGAAAAGAAAAGAAGTCGGGGCCAGAGTGATAGTACAGCAGGTAGGGTGTTTGCCTTGCACGGGGCCAACCTGGGTTCAATCCCCGGCATCCCATATGGTCCCCTGAGCACTGCCAAGGGTAATTCCTGAGTGTAGAGCCAGGAGTAACCCCTGAGCACTGTTTGGTGTGACCTAAAAAGCAGAAAGAAAGAAAGAAAGAAAGAAAGAAAGAACAGAAGTAAAAGAAAAAAAGACAGACATTTCGGAAAGATTCTCTTGTTCTTAAATACCACCTTTGATGTATCTCAGGCTGGAGAGATGGTACAGCGGGGAGGGTGCTTGCTTGCAGTCGATCCTGGCTCCGTCCCCCGCGTCCCATGTGGTCCCCTGAGCACAATCAAGAATAATTCCTGAGTGAACCCAGGTCGTCCATGTGTAAGGCAAGATGCCCTCCCCACTGTACTATGACTCCAGCCCCGACTACAGCCTTTAAATTTCTCTGTGTTACCTGAAGGATCTGGTATTTGGGTTGAGTTTTTATTTTTTTTTGGGGGGGGGGGGGGCGCTACACATGTAGAGGAAAATTCCATTTTGCGCAAATGATTGTGTTTCCACTAATCCAGCCGCATCGAAGAATTATGGCGGACCATGACTGATTCCAAGGGGAACGAAGATGACCAGGAGCGATACTCTCAGTTAGGTAAGACTCCTGCTGGCTGTGCCTCTGGCATGTCTTCCTGGCCCGTTTCTTGTGGCCACGGCGGCGGCCTTGTCCTCCTGCCGTCAGAAGGCCCGTGGGTCCTCAGGCTTGAGCCGTCCCTGTTTTCCAGATGATGCCGGCGGCGGTGGCAGGGATGCCCAGAAGGAAGGGCTGTTCCGGCACTTCTACCAGGTGCTTCAGAGAGATCGCGAACAGAAGAGACCCTCAGACTGCATCGTGGTCTCCATTTTCCAAGAGCAGAGGTAGGCTGGGTTTGCTGAGCACGCGGGTCAAAGGGTGCACATGCCGTGATGGGCCGGGTCTCTGGCTCCCAAGAGTGAGACTGCGGGCATTGTGCAGGCAGCGCTCGGGACGGTTCCACCTGTCCCGGCTGTTTGTTTGGCTTTTCTGTTATCTTTACGGTCATACAAAACAGGCAGCCAGGTGTCTCCCAATCAGAAAACACGGCAGGCACCCTTCAGGGTAGGGGCCCACCCATTCCTGGCCTCCCCCTCCCCCCACCCGTGCACTGCAGACAGGCCTGTTGTTGTGGGGTACTGCATGTGATGTGGGGAGCAGCGTCCTCATTGATGGGGGACAAGAGAAGCGTGTGTTGCTTCCCTGAACTGCACTACGTGTGCTTGGCCAAGGTCTGTGTATTCCACAGTCTGGTCGTGCCCGGCCAGAGGCTTGCCCTGTTGAGCAGCGTATCCCGTCATGTGCCCAGTGCTCACTGCGGCCAGGGATGTGAGACGTGATGGGAGGGGGAGGGGGAGGGGGGCGGGAGGGGTTCTGGGTGGTGTGGGGCATCCATGTTTGGCCGGGGGCAAGCACACTGCTTCTGGGCTAGGTCGTGAGTGATTCAGCAAAGCCCAAGGCACAGATAACTCCGGATTCCTGAGCGGGAGGCTACGGGTGCCCAGCAGAGAACTGACCGCCAAGGCAGCACGGGCTTTGTTTTTTCTCTGAAGATCTGAAAATCTTAACAGTGATGGAGATTTTGTTGGAGGTGCTCAGGGCCGCACCCCATGGTGCTCTTGGCTTGCTTCTGGCTTTGTGCTCAAGGAGCGCTCCTGGTGGGGCTGGGGGCGGGGCGGGACTCAGGTGAGGTGTCAGTCAGGTTGAACTGGGATCAGCTGTGGGCAAGGCAAGTGCCTTAATCCCTATACTACTTGATGGAGATTTTCAGCTCCTCTGTAGCAACCTACTTTGTTTGTACATGGCGTCTTGACTGCAAAAGCGGTGGAAGCATCAGTCTAGCCAGCTGTCATTTGGAGTGTATTTGGATCGGTCCTTGGCTGACAGCATATTGTTCAAGCACCACAGAGAAAGAGAGAGAGGGGAGCCCATCACTCTCTCCTGTCCTTTCTCCCTCCTTCCCTTCCTTCTCTTCTTTCCCTCCCTCCCTTCCTTCCCTCCCTCCTTTTCTTTCTTCCCTCCCTCCTTCCTTCCCTTCCTCTTCCCCCCCCACCCCTTTTCCCTCCCCCTCAAACGGGCAGGGCAAGTGCTGAGCTACTAAGCTACTTTCCAAGCTAGAACACTTCCTTTTACCTAAGAAAATTCGGGAGTTTCTCTGGAATAATTGCAAGGCAACCTTTCGTGCCCTGGTTTAATTTCATAAATTAATTTTATAAATTGGGGAGGGGGGTGGGCTGCGATCCTGACAGTGCCTGAGAGCCACTGGGACCGTGTGGGGGTGGGGGTGGGGGGAGAGAAGGGCTTTTAGTGCTTTCTGAGATTTCAGATCAGAGCCTCGCGCCTGCCAGGTGGGTGCTCTAGCCCTGGGACCACAGTTCCCCGATCCTGCCGTCATTTCAGCCCATTTGGAATCCAGAGGCTTCAGCGTCTCAGGATGCTCTGCACCTTTGCTGGGGGAGCGGGGGGGATAGCCGTTGCCTGGAACTACTGTTTGCAGCCCAGCCCTCCTCTCTTCTCTCCTGTAGCGTCTCGTGCTCCTTTCTGGGCCTTGCCTGACTCTGCTGCCCCGCCAAGGGCTGTGGACTGCTGGAGAGCAATTTTCCTCTCCGTTCCATCTGGAGTGGGGCTGAGAAGCTGTTCCTCCTGCGTTCTGGAGCCTCAGCTGGGCTCAGCCCCAGGGATGGGGACCCCGGGAGGTACAACTCAGACAGGCCTCTGCCGTGGGGGCCAGGGATGTGGCTGACCTATGACCTGTTGGCACTTCAGTGCTGGAAGGATTCGTAGGGATGATTTGGTTGACTCACTCATTCTCTGAATGAGCCTCTGAAATGGGAATGAATTACCAGCGCGAGCCGCACCCAGGTAGGGTGAATGGGGTGGGCGACCTACTGGTATGGCGGTGTCACTCTGGATAGGTGCTGTGTCGTGTTTTGCTCAGCGCCCTGTCTTTATTTGTGGAAGTCATCCGCGGTCTCTGCCGTTGCCAGGAAAGTGTTCTAGCTACTGCCATCGTCGTTCTTCATCCACAACATGCGGGCTTTTTTTTTCTTTTCTTTTCTTTTTTTTTTTTTTTTTTTTGCTTTTTGGGTCACACCCGGCGATGCTCAGGGCTTACTACTGGCTCTGCACTCAGGAATTACTCCTGGCGGTGCTCAGGGAACCATATGGGATATTGGGAATTGAAACCTGGATCGGCCACGTGCAAGGCAAACGCCCTACCCACTGTGCTATCGCTCCAGCCCCCACACGTGGGCTTTGCATGGCCGCATGCTCCCTGTCGAGCTTGGTGCCCGGCGAGGGTCCACGGGAGTCATCCTGAGTGTCGGGATTTGTGCTGCAGGAGTCTCGGGATGCTGGAGAGGCCGCCCCGCCCCGGGCACGGGGACCAGCCGGGGACCAGGAGGAGGCTGGGGAAGGGTCCCAGGAAGCGAGTTCAGTCGTGCTCGGGGATCATGGGATCTGAGGGGAGAATTGCTAAGGGTTCAGCAAACAGAATGGCAGGGACGGCCCAGCTGGAAGGACTTTGGAGCGAGCCCAGAAATCACAAGAAGGTATAAATTTGGAACAAGAAACCGATGCTTGATGCTCAGTGAGGTACCAAAACTTCAGAGAGATGCTGCCGCCATCTTGCCATCTTGAGTCACGAGGTTGAGGAAGTTTGAGTGCCAAGCCAGGCCCCTGTGGCAAGGGTGAGAAGGTCTGGGGACCCCCTGCACCACTCAATGAGCTGCACCACAGTGCCAGACCCAGCCTGGTCAGCCTGGTAATACTGGGTGTTGGGCCTGGGCTCATGACGCTGCTAGGGAGCCTCTGTGCTCCCCACTTTCCATTCCCCCCAAAGCTCCCCCAAACTCCTGGCACTGTCTGGCTCATTTACCTGCACAGAATTGAAATATAGTATATCAGGGTCAGAAAGACAGTCCAGCAAGTTGGGTGTTCACCACGCATGCGACTGACCTGGATTCCAACCCCGCATCCCTATCTGGTGGTGCCCCAACTCAGGAGTGATTCCTGAGTACAGCCAGAGCCAGGAGTAACCCTTGAGCCGATTGAAATAAATATGGTGTATCTGTACCCCTCACTTAAATTCATGGCACCCATGTGTCTGCGAAAACAGCTGCTAGGTGCTGGAGGTTTTTCTTCTGTTGTTTGAAGACGGCATGTCTTCACGGCAAGTGACCTCCCGTTTTCCTGTGTGTGTGTGTGTGTGTGTGTGTGTGTGTGTGTGTGTGTTTGAAGGGAATACGCCACAGCCGTCGGCCACCGGTTGCAGGATCACGGCCTCGTGGTGGAAATGATCCACCTCACCTCCGAGTCCGGGCTCACCCGTGCGCTCCAGGAAGTGAGGGAGGACGGGTCCCCGTTCTGCATTCTCGTTGAGCGGTCGAATGTAAAACTCTCCTCTTGCACCGTGATTCTGCTGCACGAGTCTATCAAAAGTAAGTTCCCGATGACGCGTGGGCACTTGTCACTTCAGACACCCGCCTGGGGCCAGGCTGCCGCTGCGAGGCGGGAGGGGACCACGCACACCTACCTCACTTTTTTTTTTTTATTGTTCTTTCTTGCCAGCTTGACTTTCTCTTTCTCTCTCCCTTCTGTTTTGTTCTGGAGCTCATGACCGTGCCCCCCAAATGAGCCTTTACTCCCTTCTTTACAGTGCACAGACTTTGGCAGATGCATCTGGCCTGTCTCCCCCCACCCCCATCCCCCGACACACACACACACACACACACACACACACACACACAGGTTAAGCGCTACCCGGGGCTAGTCTTTCCTTCTAGCCTTTTCGGGGAATGTGTTCTGAGGGGGTGCGGGGGGCCCCTGACTGAGAGGCTCTCTCTTTGCCCGCAGTCCATCGCCACATGCCGCTGGAGGACGCCCTGGCGCTGGTGGGCAGAGAGTACCAGCGCTTCCTCACGCAACGGGAGCAGCGGGAACGTGCCAGCATCGCGCTCCGCGCCGGCGACCTGGTGGACGACTTCCTGGCCCGGGAGGGCCTGAGCAGCCACACCGTCCCGCTGGGCATCCGGCACCTCCTCTTCCTGCTGACCGAGGGGAAGCATCTGCACCGGAATGAGCTGGACCTGCTCATCGACTACCTGAAGACCAGGAGAGGTCAGCTGGAAGGTATTTGTCTCTGTCCGTTTGCCTGCCCCCCCCACTGGGACCCCCTGAAAATCCCATTTCTGCAACCCCCTGGAAGAGCAAAGGCTCAGAATCTCTCCGTTTTATTTTGGGGCCATACCCAGTGATGCTCAGGGCTGACTCTTGGCTCTGTGCTCAGGGATCGCTCCTGCCAGGGCTGAGGTGGGGGACCATGTGGGGTGCTGGTTATCGGACCCCTGTCAGCCGTGTTACAGGAAAGTGCCATCCCTGCTGCACTATTGCTCTAGCCCCTCAGAGTACCTCGTAGCGCTGACAAACGCTCTCACAATGACAGCACATGGAGGCCTCTGGTCTGAGTGTGCTGCACACAGCCACCTTGGCAGGTCAGAGCGTTGCTCCCGAGCCATGGGTTTTTGGAGCATGGAAATAGGGCGAGCGTAGAGGGAGTAGTTCCATCCGCTGCCAGGTGTTGGCATTGCTTTGGTCAGGGCCCGGGCAGCCCTCCCCCATCCAGGGCTGGCGACGTGGGAGACGCTCCTTGGAATCCTCACCCCGTTGCAAGCCTGGCGAGTTGGTGTTTGGACCCAGAGATGTGTCACTGTTCGGCACTCTGTGCCACCCAGCAGTGTGTGGTGCTGGCATCAGTGTGGCCTCACTCCTGTGCCTCTCCCTTTGAGCCACCGCCTCGGCTCCCCCTGTCAGTTTCTCTTTTGGTGCCAGACTCTCTTTTGGTACATATATATTTTTTGCTTTGTGGGTCACACCCAGTGATGCTCAGGGGTTACTCCTGGTTCTGCACTCAGGAATCACTCCTGGCAGTGCTTGGGGGCCCATATACATATGGGATGGTGGGTATTGAAACGGGTCGGCCGTGTGCAAGGCAAACACCTTACCCGTTGTGCTATTGCTTCAGCCCTTCTCTCTCTCTCTCTCTCTCTCTCTCTCTCTCTCTCTCTCTCTGCTTCTTTCCTTCCTGTCTTTCTTCCTCCCTCCCTCCCTTCCTTCCTTCCTCTTTTTGGTTCATACCTGGCAATGCACAGGGATTACTCCTGGTGCTGCACTCAGGAATTACTCCTGGCGGTCCTCAGGGGACCATATGGGATGCTGGGAATCGGACCTGGCTCGGCCGTGTGCAAGGTACATGCCCTCCCCGCTGTGCTATCACTCCAGCCCTAGTTCATTTTACTGATTCTGTTTCTGGTAGTTGATTATTTAGCTAGTTCTTTACTGGTAGGACAGGGGCCTACCAGGTACTGCCCAGGTCTCTGGGACCCCCCCCAGTGACACTCAGATCCGCTGGGCCTGACAGCTAAGTTTTCCAGCCAGCCCTGCCCTGCAGTGCTGGAGGCCACCGGAGCTGCATCCGCACCCGCGGGTGCTCCGGGATGTCCACTGGACTCCCACCCTGGGTCACATGCCAGGGCCTGCATCCCCCCTCTGCACGATCTTCCCAGCCCCCGTAGTTTTTCCCCAAGACTTGGGATGGGAGTGTCTGTGTGTGGGAGTGGTCCATTGAGCTCTGGCCTCTGAAAAGTCACTTTTTTAAGGAGGCTTGCTTATAATTAGAAAAGGTAAAGGTAAAGGCCCTCCCGTTGATCTTCGATTTGCTCGAGCAGGCCCAGTAACGTCTCCATTGGGGACTTTGTTGTTACTGTGTTTGGCATATTCAATACTCTCGGTAGCTTGCCGGGCTCTCCGAGAGGGGCGGAGGAATCGAACTCAGGTCGGCCATGTTGGCCGCTTGTAAGGCGAACGCCCTACCGCTGTGCTATCGCTCCAGCCCGATCTCGTCTGATAATTAGAAAATTCTTTGAAATCTTCAAAATTGAGTACTTCCTCCATGTTTACCCATACACTTAAAAGTAGTCTTTTATTTTTTCATTTTGGGTCACACCTGGCCATGCACAGGGGTTTCTCCTGGCTCATGCACACAGGAATTACTCCTGGTGGTGCTCCAGGGACCATATGGGATGCTGGGAATTAAACCCGGGTTGGCCGCATGCAAGGCAAACGCCCTACCCGCTGTGCTATGGCTCCACCCCCTTAAAGTAGTCCTTAACTTGTGTCAGAGATAGTGCAGGCATTAAGGCGCTTGCCTTGCGTGCCGCTGACCCCAGTTCAGGTTTCTGGCATCTCCTGAGGTTCTCTGAGCACCGCCTGGGGTAGAGCCCGATGCGGCTCTGACCCCTAGAAATAGCGAAGAATTAAGGCACTTCCTTGCCTTGAATGTGGCCAGTCCCAGTGTGATCCGTGGCACCACACGGTCCCCTGAGCAGCACTGGAGCCAGCCCTGAGCATCACGAATCCCTCTGAATATGGGGGAAGGGGACAACAGAAAGAGGGAGGGGGAGAGGAAGGAGGCTTTTATTTCTTTGCTTGCAGGCTAAAGGAAACAATTCCTTTCCCTCGGAGGAAAAGGCCGCAGATGTTGGAGGACCGTGTTAAATACCCGGGAAGCCGTTGTTTGCCCCCAGGAGACAGTGGGGTGCTTGCCTTGCCTGCGTGGGGTCCTGGCTCTTTCCCCAAGCAGTGCGGGTGGCTGGCGGGCACTGCAGGGCCTGGGTATGGTCGTCTCCAACCTGCCTAGCCTCCCCTCGCCCCACCCCCACAAATGAACCAACGTGGAGATTGTTTCTGGGCGTTTGTGTTGTGCTCTCAGGAGGGGGAACCCACAGGCTCCCTCAGCCGGGACAGCCCGGGTGGACTCTGGAGGTTCACTGCCCGCCACGTCTCTCCCACAGGCCCCGAGACCCCCAGTCCTCTGGCCAGCAGCGACGCCGCCTCCTTTGCAGGCCGGAGCACCCCGTCCGAGGGCAAGCCGCCGCCCCTGCTGCCCACCCCGGGCCAGTGCTCCTACCCAGGCCCGCTGCCCTCCTTCCGCCTGGGCGAGCGGCCGGGAGGAGGGTCTGCGGCGTCCACAGGTCAGTGCGGCCTGGGAGAGACGGCCTGGAAGAGCGGGGGAATGGGGAAGGGAAGGGGGACAGCAGAGAGAAAGCGGGGGACACAGTGGGGAGAGGGGGGACAGCCTGGGGAGAGCTCGGCCCCATGAATGCAGTTCCCCCAAAGAAGGCTGCAGGGCTCAGTGGGCCCGAGCACCTGCTCTGTGTGTCTGACCCCCTGGACCTTGAGACCCCCCTCCCCAGCCCTGAGCTGGGGTCAGCGCCCCCCCCACCCCCAATCCATCCCCCACCATAGAAAATGGTTTTAAAAATCTCTAATTGAACCCCTCCAAAACAATCGCCAGGCTGGATTTGGTCCCTAGCCTCAGACTCCTGGATTGGACCGTTGAGGCACTGTCTGGGTTCACTGGGAAATTGGGAGACCCCCCTACCCACCACCCCACCCCTGCAGAGCAGAGGCAGGAGGTGTGAACACATGCTCAGCCCTGGGGGTGGGGGGTACGTCTTCCTGTTTATAGTTCCGTCTCTGTTCTCTGCAGGACTGGCCAACCCCAAAGGTCCGTTTCCCCCACCCCTGCTGCTGGTGGCCCCCTGCAAGAGGCCTGCTCCTTTGGGGGGTCTCCCGCCTAAGCCCGCCAAGCGCCCCATGCTCGGGGAGAAACCAGGCCTTTTAGCACCACCGCCAGGTAAGCCGCCAGGTGTGCTGTTGAGCCAGCCACCGGGTGTGTGCTGAGGAGGCAGACTTCCTTGGGGTGGGGGCAGCAGGCAAGGACTCCAGCCATCGGGGACCGACAGGACCGTGGACAGATCTCAGTTCATGTCCGTGACGGGGGCCGCAGTGGCTGGCCTGTGTGGGTCCTATCTCTTGCTGTGAGCAGCGCACTTCTGAGCCGGCCGGCATATTCAGCAGCCTGGCCATGGGGGGGGGGGGGGGAAGGAAGTGAGCTGTGGGGGGCCTGTGGAAATCTACCATGTCTCCATCTTCTCCCCCACCCCTCGCTGCTGTCTTTTGAAGCTGCATATCCCACATCCCTGCCATAAACAGGTCTCATTCTCCGTTGCTGGAAAATCAGTGACCATGTGAAAAACAGGAGGCACAGCAGGCAGGGTGTTTGTTTTGCACACGTCGACCCAGGTTCGAGCACTGGCATCTGGTATGGTCCACCTGAGCACCGGCAGGAGTGATTCCTGAGTGCAGAGCCGGGAGTAATCCCTGAGCACTTTTTTTTTTGGCTTTTTGGGTCACACCCAGCGATGTTCATGCACTCAGGAATTACTCCTGGCAGTGTTCAGGGGACCATATGGGATGCTGGGAATTGAACCTGGGTTAAGCGCACGCAAGGCAAACGCCCTACCCGCTGTGCTATTGCTCCAGCCTCACCCCTGAGCATTGTTGAGTATGACCCACTCCACCCCCTCCCCCCAAAAAAGGGGCACAAAAGCCATGTCCCTGGGTTTTGCTGTGTGTGACTCGGTCTCCCTTTGTGAAGAGCGACAGCACGGTGTGGAGGGCAGTCCCTGGGCCCCTGATCGGCGGAAGCTGCCCTAGGCTCTGCAGATGGCTTTGGAGAAACCTCTAGGCTGGTGCGTGTGGTTTGGTCACATCCCAGCACAGCCGACTCTGCTCAGGGCTGCATCTCGGTTTCTTGTTTGGCTCAGGGTGGGAACATCTCCCATCCCCTGCCACCCTCTGGGCCTGGCAGGAGGGCAGGGTGGGATCTGATTAGGCTTCCAATCAGGGAGCCCCACGGCCCTGGGCCATATCCCCTTCTGCCCCGCTCCGCCTCCTCTGAGGCCGCCCTCCCGCTACAGGCGGGGAAGGGGAGACGGTTCCAGTGGCCACCAGCCTGGCCCTAACACCCCAGGCATGAGGACTCCAACTCAGGTCTGTTAAATGGGCCAAGAGCCGAGGTCGCATCCCAGAGTGGGGTGTTGGTGCCCAGCAGGCGTCCTGCCAACTTCAGTTCTCACTGTTCCTGGGTCCTTCTTGGTCAGCTCGAGTTCTGTGCTGAGATTTGGGGAGGGAAGGAGGGAAGAAGGAAGGGAAGGAGGTAGAGAGAGGAGGAGAGAGGGAGAGAGTGTGTGTGGTGGTTGAGGGGTTTGATTTTTCGGCCATACCCTGGGGTGCTCAGGGCTTCCTCCTAGCTCTGTTGGGGGGGGGGGGGTCGGGGTCACTCCCTGGCGGGGCTCAGGAGCACCTAAGAGCAGATGAGGAATCAAATGCCGCTTGGCCATGTGCCGAGCAAGCGCCTTCCGCCCGCCTGTTCTCCTGTCAAGATCTGGGACTGGAACGTGAGATTTCAGGACCCGCCTTCTTGCCCACGTCTCCTGCGCCTGGCGCTGTTCGCCATTTTGAGTTTCGTCCTGGCTTTCGGTGACGCCGGTGTCCTTGAGGCCGGTCCTGCCATGGTGGGCCGCATCCCTTGGGGTAGCCCAGGGGTTCCACAGTGCAAATGACGTGAATGGGGGCTGGGGGAGCAGCCATTGGGGTGGAGTGGTCCCAGGAAGGACACACGACAGGGGTCCTGGTCAGGACAAGAATGCACCTTTGCGCCAGGGAGGGAGACAGAAGGACCCGGGGCCAGTGCCCCTTCTCCCTGGCTCATTCCCCGGGACCCTGCCCAACACACGCGGGTGGGGGGGGGGGGCTTTATTTGAACCCAAGAGACCTTGTTTCGCCCCTGTGGCGGCCTCTAGTGATTTCAGGACCTGTCAGTCCTGAGTTCAAGGACTGGTCGTCGGTGAAACCTTTAAAAAGCCGAGAGCCCTCCGTGCAGGGCTCCACATTGCCGTGTTCCCTCCTAGTCTCCACGTCTCACACGGGGCCCCTTGGTCCCTTCCCCAGATCCGCCCGCCAGGGGATATACCCCCCCCCCCCCCCCGCCTGGCCAGACACATCCCAGCCGGCCCCCCCATCCCCACCTGCTCCACGCCCAAGGCTGCTCCCTAAGCTGTCACACTCTCACTGTGAGGTGACACAGCTTTAAGGTGGTTGGGACTGGCACGGCAGGGATAGGGCCTTACACACAGCCCACTTGGGTTTCGATCCCCAGCACCCTGATGGTTCGCCCAACCGCCGACCCCACCAGGATTGAATCATTCCTGGGAAATTTGACTCCTGAGCCAGGAGTCAGCCCTGAACACTGCCAGGTGTGACCCAACAGACAAAACCAACAAACAAAACCAAAGAAAACACATCAGTCCTGACCTGGGTTCAATTTCCCGCACCCTGTGTGGTTCCGTCCCTCTATTCCCTCAAGCACCTCCAGGACGGATCCCTGAGCACAGAGCCAGGAGTCAGTCCTGAGCACCAACAGGTGTGGTTGACAAAAAAACCAAAACCAAAACAAAAACACCCATCAGTCCTAGCTCATCCAGCCACACCCGTCACCACCAGCCAGCATTCCCCTGTGTCCCCCGGTTCTGGTTCTTCAGTGTCAGGGTGAGAAACGTGGGTCTGGGGTCATGCCCCCAAGGCTGCCCTGTGGACATCACGAACCTGGGCTGCCACGGGGGAGACGCGCCAGAAACCCCCAGTGGTCGAGAGGGGTGGGGAGTGGGGTGTTGGCTGCACACCCCGCACCCTGCACACACCCCATCAGGGGAGGGCTGGCATTGTGGTGGCTCCTCGACTCCAGGAACGTGCACAGAACCGTCTCCCAGCGGGCAGGGGCGGGAGATTGACCCTCTTCCTCCTCTTTGCAGCGCTTTTGCAGTCGGTGCTGCCCAAGTGGCCCGGGCAGCCCATGTCTTTGCTGAACTAAGGAGTCGCCACCGAGCCAGACCACGCTTGTTCCCACCCCTCCAACCCCCGTGTGCTGGCTCCCCACCCCCACTCCCTCGTCTCGGGCCCAGGGGGGCCCCTTCTGTCAGATCCACGAGCCCAGGGAACCCTCCGGGCGTGTGGAGAGTCTTGCGGCCTGACCACAGTCGACGTCATGGTTGGCCCTTGGATCTCCAAGTTGTTCGAGTCTCTGTTTGTTAAAACCCAATAAAAACTAGCTTTTATGTACTGGTTGTCCCTTTTCATAGTCTACTTTCACTTTGGAATAGCTTGGGATCCGCAGCCGCCCCCTTGTCCAGCGCCCCCTCGCGGTTCCCTTGTGCGTGTCCGTGGCCATGGCATGTGCCCAGGCCATGGGCACTCGATCGGTGACACTGACGACCACATGACTCTGGTTCCTGTTGCAGGAGCCTGGCCCGGCACCAAATCACTTTTAGCTTCTAGCTTTCATGTTCACTACATTTTTTTTTTCATTTTTTTTATTGAATCACCTTGAGAGCAGTTACAAAGCTTTTGGGTTTAAGTCTCGGTCATACAATGAAACACCCGTACCTTCACCAGTGCCCATTCTCCACCCCCAACAACCCCAGTCTACCCCCATCCCACACCCTCCCCCTACCTGTGGGGCAGATGATTTTCACATTACTCTCTCTCTACTTTTGTCTCATTCATTCAATATTTTGACACCAGACCCACCATTATTGTTTGGGATTTTACCCCAACACTCAGATCTGCTGAAAAAGGCAATAGTAGACAATTTGTTTTCTATTGCTGGTTGAGAATAATATATGATATCACGTAGCTGCAGTAGTGGCCACGTGATTTTGGAATTCTGAAATTTTAACAATTAAATCTGGAGGGATTTCGGCCAAAACCTGCTGGGTTCCGAGATTTGTTCCTGAATCTCTTTCATCATGGCATTAAGCAGTTTGATCAGGAGCCAGAGAGGCCATTCATGGGTGGCGATTCGAGGTTTCATTGGGGTGGGGAAGAAAGGCCGGCTCCACCCTCATCCCGTAAGGCCCCTTGTATCTCGTTACTGTGGGCTCAAACTTGACTGTTCAGTGGCCTTTGGAGGATGGTGGTCACCAGGCTGCCAGGAGGAACAGGCCAAGGCACAAAACCTATTCCCACCTGGGGTGGCCCAGCGCTGGTAACCTACTGCAGGGACTAGACGCATTTCTGCCAAAAGCCGCTGGGTTTCTAGATTTGTTTTTGAGTCTCTGGGATCATGGCCATTAAATGTCTTGATCAGGAGCCGGAGAGGTTGATGGTACGTTTTTTTTTTTTAAATGATGAACTATCTGGAGAATTTGAATAGTATATGAACAAGTGAACATCCATGTATAGTACATGTTGATGAAACTGTTGTTCGCATCCTGTCATGTTTTAGAAAAGAGCGTGTAGCCGCAAGTACATTTTTTCCCCCTCAAATGTGAGAAGCAGGGGCTGGAGCAGTGGCACAGCAGGTAGGGCGTTTGCCTTGCACAGAGCCAACATTGCCGATATAGGTTCGATTCCCAGCATCCCCTATGGTCCCCCGAGCACCACCAGGAGTGATTCCTGAGTGCATGAGCCAGGAGTAACCCCTGGGCATCGCCGGGTATGACCCAAAAAGCAAAAAAAAAAAAAAAAAAGAGAAGCAAATTGCTTCATTTTATTATTTTATTTTTTTCATTTTGTCTTTTTGGGTGTGTGTGTGTTTAGATGATGCTGGGGTTACTTCTGGCTCTGAGTTACCAGGAATCACTCAGGAATTAACTGTGTCAGCCGCATGCCAGGCGAGCGCCTTAGCTGATGTCCTGTCGCTCCAGCCCCTCTTTTGGTTTGGGGACCAGGTCCAGCTGTGTCCAGACGGTCCTGGCGATGCTCGGGAGCAGGACCCGGCCTTCCACATGCAGAGTCTGTGCCCAGCCCCCTGAGTTCCACTCCGGTCTGCCCTTGCTCTGTGGACACGTGAGCTTTTCCGTTCTAAGATTGGAGGCCTTGTCCTGTGGCTGTTACCACATCTGAAAAACTAACGGCATTTCTGTAAGAACTTGAGTGCATCTTGTCCCAAGATTTGAATTTTCCTCATTGGCCCAAGAATGTGCTTGTGGCCTTGTTTTTTATGATGATGATGATGATGAGATGATGATTAGTGGGCTGGAGCGATAGCATAGCGGTAGGGCATTTGCCTTGCGTGTGGCCAGTCTGGCCAAGCCGGGTTCGATTCCTCCACCCCTCTCGGAGAGCCCGGCAAGCTACCGAGAGTATCTTGCCTGCACGGCAGAACCTGGCAAGCTACCTGTGATATATTGGATATGCCAAACACAGTAACAAGTCTCATGATGGAGACGTTACTGGGCCCGCTTGAGCAAATTGATGAACAACAGGCAGACAGTGCATAATCCAGTGCATTTTTTTTTTTATTAGTGAAACACCATGAGGTACAGTTGTAGATTTACAAATTTTTGTGCTTGGATTTCGGTCATACCATGATCAAATACCCATCCCTCCACCAGTGCCCATTTTCCACCACCAGGATAATATCCATCCCCCCATCCCCCCCGCCACTGTGGCAGGGCATTCCCTTTTGTTCTCTCTCTCCTTTTGGGTGTTGTGATCAGCAAAAGAGGCATTGAGTGGCAAACATGTTCAGTCCAGTCTACTTTCAACCTGCATCTCCCCTCCTGGGAGGATCCTCCAAACACCCTCCATTTGGTGTTCCCTTTTCTATCTGAACTGTCCTTTCCCCTAGAATACCCGGCTGGCCTCTAAGCTATGGAGTAATCCTCCAATCCAGTGCATTATTATTGTTATTATTAATATTATTTTGCTTTTTGGGTCACACCTGGCGATGCACAGGGGTTACTCTTGGCTCTGCACTCAGGAGTTACTCCTGGCGGTACTCAGGGGACCATATGGGATGCTGGGAATTGTGCAAGGCAAACGCCCTACCTGCTGTGCTATCTCTCCAGCCCCTATTATTATTATTTTTTAATTTTATCCTTAACTGATGGGAGTTCCGTGACTCACAGCACTGTCATTGGGGGCTTCCCACCTACAGCACCACACCCATCACCCACACCCTCACCTACCATGGCCCTGTTTGAAAGCAGGCTTGATGTCAAGGGCTGTGCAGCGTCTCTGGTTGTTTCTGTGTCCTTGGCTTCTTTACTCCAGCACAGTCTCCTTGCCTTCTCTCCTCCCCAGAGATTCTCACTTTTTAAGTGGAGGCCACTGGGGCTGGGCAGCATGAAAACAGAGCCCTTTATTATTACTTTTTGTTTTAATTGAATCACCGTAAGATACAGTTACAAGCTTTCATGTTTGAGTTTCAGTCATGCAATGATCAAACACCCATCCCTTCACCAGTGCACATTCTCCACCACCAATGTCCCCAGTATCCCCCTTTCTAACCCTCCCCCTGTCTCCATAGCAGACAATTCCCTCCATACTCTCTCCGTTGGGTCATTACGGTTTGCAATACAGATACTGAGAGGCCATCGCGTTTGGTCCTTTATCTACTTTCAGCACACATCTCCCATCTTGAGCGATCCGTCCAAACATCATTGACTTAGCGATCCCTTCTCTATCCCATCTGCCATCTCCCCCAGTTCATGAGACAGGAGAAGCGCCGGCCCTTTGCGCGGTCTCCACCCCTTCCTATGTTTTCCTGGAGTTGGGAGTGGTGTGAGTCCAAAGATCCCTCCTTTCTGTCGGGCAGGAGGTCCTGGTAGGGATTTGGGAGTTGTATGGGTCTCCCCTCCACTAGCCCACCAACCCCCACGGGGGCTGTTGTAAAATTGCTGTGATCCTCTGTGGATTTAAATTTGTGGTTGTCCCGGTGAGTCCTGGGAGCAAGTGGGGATGCGCAGCCGGAGGGCAGTGGCAGATCTAGTGTCATGAGAAAGCCCGTGTGGCCGGACACTGGCCTGGCCACCCACCCGCACTCCCGGGAGTTCCATATGGGTACACCCACACACGTGGCTGGGGACAGCCGCCTGGGACTCTGCCTGTCCGCTGGCGGGAAGGGTCTGTCCAGTCTGGACTCGGTGATTTCCCTGGTGGCCACAGAGGACGCGTGTTGGCTTCTCATCGTCTGTCTATCAAGGGAAGACGCATCAGACTGCTTTGGGCCACACGCTTGTGTGTTCCTTCCTAGGGCAGACGCTGGGGGTACGGACAGGCAGGAGCCGGGTGGGATGGATGTCCCCGAGGAACGTGTCTGCAGCATTGCGCCTGCTACTGGGCACACACCTGTCCTTGACCGCTCCTTCTGCTGTCCTGGGAGGCAGATACAATGTTCTCCCAGCACTCAGCCGTCCCTCCTGTGTCTTGCTGTCATTTGTCCCCCTGTGCCTTTGTCTCTTCCCAACTCTCAACAGGAGGATCCAGAGCAAATAGTGCAGCAGGTAAGGTGTTTGTCCTGCACACATGGCCGACCCAGGTTCAATCCCCAACACTCCATCTGATCCCCAGTGCCTGTCGGGAGTCAGCCCTGGACACCGCTGGGTATGGCCCCTAACTCCTCCCCCATCACCAAAAAAAAAAAAAGGACCAACTTTCCAAAGGAAAGCTCACTATTTGTTTTTTTTTTCCCTTTTCGAGTCTCACCCATTGATGCTCAGGAGTTACTCCTGGCTCTGCGCTCAGAAATTACTCCTGGCGGTGCTTGGGAGACCATATGGTATGCCGGGGATTGAACCCAGGTTGGCCGTGTGCAAGGCAAACACCCTACCCACTGTTCTATCGCTCCAGCCCCTTGTTTGCTTTTTCAGTTGGTCTCAAGGTCACTCAGACCCTCCGCAGTGTGGTGGTGGTAGCTGATGCATGGGCTGCCCTGGGTGAGGTGAAGCTGTGCGGGCAGCCATGTACCAGGCTGCGCCTCTCACCCAGCTCTGAGCTTGCAGGCCTGGCTGCGGGCCCGCTGGGTCCTGGGTGTTCCGGGGAGTGGAGCCCTCCCTGTTGGGGCAGATGTGCAGCTTCCTCAAGACAGTGGGAGTTATTGGATGAATCACTGGCGTCTACGCTAGGAAGACTATTATTTACAGTTAA